CCTGCCTCTCCTAGGATCTTCAAACATCTTAAAAATTGTATAATTACCCATTTTTAACGGATTTTTATCCTGAAAAGGCCATCTAGAATTTTCGGGAGCCTTTTTGCTGAAATTTTCGAAAAGGTAAGTTTCGACCCCTATAATTTTCGGATCACTAGACTTTCAGCTAGGAAATCCGAACAGTTGTTAAATTTTTAGGGGATAAAAATATGCCTATATCTACCGTTTAAATACTAAAATACGTTTAACAATGCTATGTTTTAATTAATAAGTGGTTTTGAACTAAAAAGTCTCGTTAGGTGCCCTTGATGGGTCAATGTAAGATCGTGGGAAAGTGCCAACTTATCATCCCACTAACCTAACGCCGAGAATTAGCTGCTCAAAATGTTGGGTTAAGAATAAAGTGTTGGGTGTTTTCTCGGCTCCTTCTTGAACCAGCTTCCTGACCCTGGCGTAACGTTTCTGGAAAGTGGTCCACATGTCGGTTGTCGGCTAACATTTCGTTAATTTGCACTTCGTTCTAAATGCAAATATCGATAATACCGGTTCCTGACGGTGGTCTGTTAACGTTTTTCCTGTAGGTAGTCTATTAATAATAATTTTCGCTCTTTGTCGCTAGTCGGTTAACCCCATTCAGACCCTCGATTCAAGCTACTTAAGTACTCTGCAGGCAAAGTAGAATCGAAAGAAGAAGCTGAGCTGTCCTCCTACACTCGGATTCCTGTGTAGTCAAATGTGTGAAAATGTGTAAAAAAAAAAATTGAAAAAAGTAAGAGGTTTTCCTCGCTATACTTTGCCGCTATTTTAAAAATGAAGAGGCAGGGTAGAGTGGCCCTTATTTGCTAGTTTGGTGACAGGGGGGGAGCTGTGTTGGGGAGGGGGGCGCTAATTCGGGAAGATTGCTGTGTGTGTGAGCTCTTCTTTAATCATTACAGGCTCGTTTACATGCACGTGCCTTGCTGGTTACAGCGGAGACGGAAAAACTTGTCTTCCGTTACCCCACAAACCGGTGGACATCAAAGTAACGGCGATAAACCCAAACGAAGTGACGGTGACTTGGAATGTGACTGATGATACCATAATAAGGTATTTTACAGTGGAGTATAAGTGGTTGGACAAAGAATGGCAGTTTGTTAAGATACAACCTAACAGAACGCAGGCACGTCTGAAAGATTTGGATTCAGATTCAAATTACCTGGTGCGCATAGGTAAGTCATGTGACTATGGGAAGCAAACACGTGCAACTTGTTTTGCAACATTGCTGCATTCAAGTTGAATAGCGATGCTACGCGTTTACCATGCACCCACGAATCGAACCTGGCTTTACAACAAATCAGGTTGTTGTGAATATTGACTTCTGATTGGCTTAAGTTACGCGGGAGTCATGCCATGCATGAGAGTTACGTCGCTTGCTGTAAAATAAGTTTACATTGGGCCGGTAAAACGCGCAAAATGTACAAATTTTGTTGCACAAACCAGAACTACTCTCGGTGGTTTCTTTCTATTCGCTGACTTAAATGTTCGTTCAATCCTGTAACCTGCTGATGGTTATTAGGGAGCTTAAGCGACGACGACGGCGACGGCAACAAGAACGGTAAAAAAGCAATTGGTTTATATTTAGCAAAAGAACAACTTTGCACGTGCATCACGCTTTTTTGTATATTTCTTAGCTGTCGTTGCGAGACTATAACGTGAAAGTGCCTAATTTCACGTTTTGTCAAAAACGTGAACACAAGACAACAACTTTCTTTTTCTTTTCCTGAACTTTGATACAGTTCTTTACAACTCAACTCCAAAAAGATTTTCCAACATTTGACAAATCAATCGAGATGGAATGAGCGCGATAAAGTTTGAGGCTGCGCGAATACACTTTTTAAGTGACGTTTTCGTAGCCGTCGCAGTCATCCCGATTCAAATTTCCTTCCAGTTCTGTCATCCCGATTCAAATTTTCGTCCAATCCCATAATCCCGATTCAAATTTTCGTCCAGTCCCGCGATCCCGATGAATATTTTAGGAATCCCTCATCCCATGCATACTTCTAATCACAAATCTCGAAAATTTTAAAATCCAGACGAATCCGAGAGAAAATGAAGTATTTACCTTAAATAGATGACAGTTTTGTGTTTTCACTGAAGCATGCACCAAAAAAATACTTTCTCTAATTCAGTGGGTATAATTTAGACTCTTTAATTTCTATCTTTTGGATTCTCAGTGGTTTTAATCCATTGTTCCAAGCTTACAGGCATGCATGCCTAAGCTGGAAGGGTTTAACTAGTCTTAGAAATATATGCTACTTAACTTTTGCGTCTTTTCACAGGTGCTTTTTCCATCTACAACACAAGTGTCTACAGCGAAGAGAAATTATTCAAGACTCCCGCCATAGATTCTGGTACAACAGTAAGCGCGACAGACAGTCCACAAAACTCGACTACTATTGTTGTAGCGCTCGTAGTGAGCATTGCTGTGTTGGCAATCATAGCTGGCGTACTTTACTTTTTGATGAAGAGAAGAAAGACGCGGAAAGAAAGACATGCTCATCCCCAGTTTCCTGGACCCGAGGATCTGATTGAGATGAGATCACGGACTCACAGTGGGGGGCCTGAGACGAGAGGAAACCGAGATCTAATGGAAATCGGTAGAGCGACTCTTTTTATACATTTGAGCTTCGTCTACTCAAATTTCTTGCAAGAAAATAATTTCTAAATTTGCTTACGCCTGTCTTAAGCCCCATATTAGTGATCAGCTTTTTGGTTCTCCATAAAATATCGAGTAAAACCAAAAGAAGCGGAAACAATCCCTGGGAGACTCCCATATGAAAGTGGTGGGGACACTCGTTGTCTCGTTTAGGAGTGTAAATTTCGGATTTTGGTCTCACTTAGGGTTTTCCGGGCAAAACATCATTATATTTAGCCGTAAAGGTCTCTTTTAGGGTTGCACGCGAAGAAATTTAAAAAACATGATATATTTTCAATTCGTTTTATTTACTCGATTCATGTAATCAAAGTTTAAAATGATCTCTTTTTAGGGGTCAAAAAAAGGTTGGGTCAGGCCCAGATTGGTCTCCTTTAGGGGTGTAATTCAAAATTTCCGACGAGCATCCCCGCCCCTTTCATATGGAAGCGTCCCCCCCCCGGAAAAATAAGTTTATGATATAACAGGGTCTGGAACGGTATTCTCTGGATCCGAGAATTTTTTACCGAAATTTAGAGCGGGATTCGGGAAAACGCAAAATTTCTAGACGGGATACGTTATTTTGACCACTACTCGGAAAGCGGGATTGGCCAAATCTTGGCGCGGGATGCGATATTGGGATATCGGGATGCGGGATTCTCGTGAGAGGGAGCGTGAATGCGGCGGGATCCGGACCCCACTTCCAGACCATGAGTAGTTACCCTGATTGTACCACTCTCAATTTTCATTTTAAAGAATCATCATTAACGTCTCTTTTCCTTGCAGGAAGCGGTTTGCAGTCGTTTGCGAGCTGCACTGCTGATAGCAAAGATGAATGGGAAATTCCACGTGATGTTCTCATTATTGGTCACACAATTGGTGAAGGACAGTTTGGTCTGGTATTGGAAGGCACGCTCATGACTGGTAAGTATGGGAAGGGGGTTAGGCGTCGAGAAACGCTCTTGTAAAGGAGGGAGGTGTATGTGTGAGTGTATGAGAGAGAGAATGGGTGCTGCGGATTGGTGCGTAGCCGCGCCGCGTACTGTTAGATTCAGATTCCAAACTGACAATTGGTTAAAAGTTCTTAGTACACCGGGATTATTTCTTGCGGTCAACGGTAGAAAAAGAGTCTATCTATTTCTTCATCTCTTCATTGACACTCATTCAGCGGCGTTAGTCATTTACCTTTTAAGTTCACCAATTTCGATATATTAAAATTTCTACTTGGCTCCGAGTCCTAGGAGAATAAAACAAAAGAAATGAATTATTCATTGCTTAGCCTCAAGGCGACTTCTTTTGTTTTTATTCCCCTACGGCCTCGAAGCCAAGTATGAATTTCAATGCATCGCAATTGCTCTACTCATGTGTTTGTTACCATGGCTTTCGTTCATTCATCCTTTCATTAATTCCTCCATCCACCCATTCATTTACAATATCTTTTTTAAAAGAAAGGCGGGATGATGTACTGTAGTCGGCTATCTTCGGTTTGAAGCAACAAAGCAAAATATTTGAAACAAACGGACGTTTGTTTTTTGTTGCAGAGGAGGGTCCGCTGAAGGTTGCCGTGAAAACGATCAAAGAAAATGCAGATCGTTTCGACATCAAAGATCTTTTGCAGGAGATGGAAATGATGAAAAAGATTGGTCAGCATCCACATATCGTCAGCCTGGTGGGCACGTGCACCACACCAGGACCGCTGTACATCATTACCGAATACGTGTCAGGCGGCAATTTACTTGATTATCTCAGGGCCAGTAGGCCAGACGATGAGACCTACGTCAACGTCACGTCCACGCTCAGTTCCCGTGACCTGCTGAAAATTGCGCTGGATTGTGCACGGGCAATGAGCCACATTGCCAAAAAAAAATTCGTCCATCGGGATCTTGCAGCTAGAAATATTCTTCTTACTGAAGAACACGAGGCTAAAGTTGCTGATTTTGGGTTGGCGCGTGATATTTACGGCCATGGACAGTACGTGAAAACCGGTGGAGGAATACTGCCTATCAAATGGATGGCTCCAGAATCTATTCAGGATCAAGTATATACTACCATGTCTGATGTCTGGTCATTCGGGGTTCTCCTATGGGAAATCGTCACCATCGGGGGTTCTCCATATCCATGTGTCCCGGTAAATCTTCTCTTAACGAAGCTCCTGTGCGGATATCGTATGTCTAAACCAGCGCACTGTTCCGAAGAGCTTTATAACTTGATGATGTCGTGCTGGGACATGAATCCCGAGGCTAGGCCGAACTTTTCCGAACTGTGCCACATACTTTCAGAGATGCTGTCGGAACCGGCGAGGTCTTACGTGAACGTCACTGTAAGTGACGAAAGATTTCAAGGGCATGTGGAGGAAAGCTCTGGTAATGCGCATGAGCAGACCACCTCAGTTTAGTAACATTTTTTTCGCTGTATGCCCTGAGAGCCTCCGCTTCTTTCGGTCAGCGTTTGACTTGATAGGTTCGGGCTCATTTCCGGAACAGTGGCTGGTAATCGAGCCTATTGATTTGATTGCCGTCACCTAGCTTGGAGTTAGAGATTCGAAGAGACAAAAGCTTAAAGTGGAAAGTTCTTAAAGAGATGGACAAACAACGGAAAAGCTAAAGCCTGGTGCTTAAAGATCAATAAAAGTTTATTTTGCCACCACGCCCGGCTTACCAGCGTATAACACTGTGACAATGAAATATATTACACCTGAAGGCCTATCAAAACCTTTTTTTTTTTTTTACAAGGAGTTTTGATGAATATTGCTTCTATTAGTAAAATGTTATATAATATTTGGCATGTTTTCATAATGTTACTTTTATATTCATTTATCGCCAATATAACTGAACCAACATCTGCATGAAAACGTATAAGCCGAAAAAATAACAGAAAACATGCAGCCAATGCCAAGATGAGTTCGGTGAAAACTACTGAGCTCGAATGAAAACTAGCATAAGTTTTCCCAAAGCCTATAGGAAAGTTATCAAATGATTTTTTCCACCAGAACAAAAAAGAAAGAAAGCATGATAAGCTTTTGTTCTTTTTTTTGGTTGATATTTTGACAACAGAGGAATTAAACTTGAAAAATTAGGGACATCTTTTTACATCCTATTTTTCGAAAGACAAATGTATTCTATTATATTTTAGGCAACCGTGTTTTTAGGGTTTGAAGTTATGTCAAAAATGCATGGTGACACAGCTCTCTTTTTAAAACTTATATACATTGCTATCACCTTTTATCAGTTACAGTAGTTAGATCAGTACATTGTTAATAGTCAAGACCAAGCCCATTACTGTAAAAGTGCGATGATTTACAAATAAAGACAATCGTTAATATGCAGCATGAACCGCTGGTTGGTAGAAATTGTTGCAACGTACCATGACTTCATTCTAATTGGTAACATTTAAAACTTGTTTGGTATCTGATACCAAACAATTATTGGATGAGGTTTTTGTGATATCTGGAATAATCAAGGTCTCGGTATTGTTATTTTCAGCCGAGTCGAAGGTTGAGGCTGATAACACTTACCGAGACCTTGATTATTCTGGATATCACAACATGCACAAAAACCGAAACTAAATATTGTTTTATTGTTTGAGTATTCCTTTCTCTGTGTCTTCTATAATCGTTCGCGCAAAATAATTTAGTTTTTACAAAAGAAAAAAACGTGTATTTAGGTATTTTAGCATTTCCAAAGATTGTCGAAACTGTCTAACTATTCATAAAGGAGTTAACTTACTCTAAGCTCTGACTAGAATGTCCAATCAGAAGCGATTTGTACGAAGAAACATTCACATACCGAAGTGCACACTCGAATTATTGTCATTTAGCTCGACTCTTTCAAAAAAGCAACCGTCAGCTCTCGATATTGATGTTGAATCAGTATGAAAACGAATAGTCTGCGAGCAAGCTCTCCGTGACGCTCTAGCGGCAGGGTAGTCTCCCTCGCAGCCGTTTTATGGATGTCAGGCAACGCTCCCCCTTATGGCATGGATTATGTTCTTTTGGGGGAGCGTTGCGTGACATCCAAAAAATGGCTGCGAGGGAGACTAGCGGCAAGGCAGGAAAAGGAAGCAGGAGCTCTAGAGCTTGCAACTACGTCTCTGGAATTTGAAAATCTGCATTGAAAAAATCGATGCGAAATGTTGATTGGCGGAGATGACATTAGTGATGACGTCATTACCATTGACACGTGTATATATTTGCGCTGATTGGCGAATTCAAATTCCAGAGACGTAGTTGCAAGCTCGATCTCCTTCCCTTTCCCGACCCGCCGCCAGAGAGCCCCGGAGAGCTTGGTCTGAGGCTAGGAAACGAACATCTTCTTAAGTTTACTTTTGATATTGAATTTAGAGCCTTGTAGTAACATGTCCGTCCAAATGTCCCTCATTAATGGGTGTTAAATCAGTTCCATTCACTTCCGGTGCCTCTATCTCTATCTTAAAACTGTATTCTTCGTCCTTGAATTCATGAATTTCAACCTCTGTTGTTTGAATCTGATCCGTGTTGGAAGTGTATGTTTCCAGTCCTAAATTAACGTAAGCACGTCCTGTCCGAGCTAAAATACCGTGCAAGATATTTGCCAACTCAGCGAAAGTGGGCCTCGCTTCTGTGTCAAGTTGCCAACAAGCTCTCATGACTTCATAGAGTTCATCAGAACATTGTGAAGGCTTTGTCATTCGATATCCAGACATCAGCTTTCCTGCAAGCAGTCGTGCTGGGATACCTGGGTAGGGGCATTCTCCCATCGTAATGATTTCCCATAACAGTATTCCAAACGACCAGACATCAGACTTAGAGGTATAACTGTAGAACCGTATGGACTCGGGAGCCATCCACTTCACGGGTAATCGACCGGATGTAGTGGTCTTGGTGTAAATTCCCTCAGTATGTACATCACGTGCAAGTCCGAAATCTGTGACTTTGGCTACTTTTTCTTCCGTTAGCAAAACATTTCTAGCAGCCAAGTCTCGGTGAAGCAAGTTCAAACTACTAAGATAATTCATCCCATTTGCCACATCTTCAGCGATTTTTAAAAGTTGTCGTTCATTCAGAGAAGACGACATGTTAATATAATGTGGGTTTTCACATCTGTTGCTTCTGAGATAGGCCAAAAGGTTCCCACCGGAAACGAACTCCATCACTAAGTACAGCGGTCCCTCCTTAGAGCATGCTCCCAACAGACTAACAATGTTCGGATGGCTCCCCGCCTGTTTCATAATTGTCAGCTCAGTCATTAAGTCCTTGTAATCGTAGCGATCAGCATCCGGTTTCAAAGTTTTCACAGCTACTCTAGTTATGCCTTCATCTGCAACAAGCAAACAAGAGAACAGAATAAAAACTTAGTAGGTAAGTTCTGAGGAATTCTTTTGAGGCGATGAATTACGCAAGAAACAATAATGGAACAGCAAGAGAATCTTAGGGCGCAGAAATGGACATGACTGGATCTGTGAATTTCAGTAAACTGAGTTATTTTAGGAAAGTCTAACCCCTGAGACGTCCGCACATAACCGATTGTTATGCAGAACATTCTGATGGCGATTGTTGAATTCGTTCTTCACAACACTGAATAAAAGTTTGCGGACCTCCCCAGAAACAAACTTTCGATGAACTCAAGGTGACTGATTGCATGACTAAAACAGTTTTTATATGTCATTAGAGTATTTTTAAGTCAATACTCCGTAGTAAGTATATGTATATAGTATATACTTGTATTCTGTGTAGAACGTATTTCGTAGAGCGCTCAATTCATTTAATTGAAGAGCATTGACTATCATTAATCACAGGCTGGAGTTCTGTCTTCAGGAGTAATCATCGATCGTTTATTGACAGTGCTGTTTCGTATGGTCCATACCTGTATCTAAAGTTCCTTCCATCACCACCCCAAAAGCTCCTTCTCCGATGGCTCTGATCAGGCGCAGTTTCTTTCGGGGGATTTCCCATTCATCTCCATGGACCGATGACTCCAGTTCTGAAAAGTTAATATTCAAATGTCTGGTGATTTGACTTCTAAACAATTCTTGTAATTGGAAATTGTACATTTTAAACATCTTATCATCCGCTCCCCTCAGGGCAATTCCTCAGGGCTTTTCAGGGATAACTTACAATACCCTTTAGGGAACTTTTTCCGCACTGCTTATGGCTCAGTTTACAAGTAACGAAAGGGATGATACCTCCTTACCATATGTGAGTGTGAATTTGAGATGACTACCATACCGAAGACGACGTCCCCTACTCTTAATAACCATATTTCAAGCACTGAAACCGAGGGAATTTACACTGACCTGCTGAATGTACTGTTTTGAAGCCCTTCAATTTCAGATTGAGAACCAAAACCGAATTGCAAATGGTAACGGAATCTGACACGTTTTCTTTACAGTCTTCAGAAAGTCTTACCTTGTCTAAAAACAGTATTAGTAAAGCTCAGTTGGCGAATTTTATACAGGTCAACATATCTCTTGGTAGACTGTTTCTTCTTTTTCTTTCTGCCAGTTGGAGGATATTCCCTTTCTTCTCGGGGTATCGCACGTCGTTTGGGAAAAATACAAAATACCAGCGTGCTAATGAGAACAACAAATATTACCATGGACACCGAGGTAGTTACTATGGCAACTACTGTTTGATGTTTCATGGAATCACATACAGTTCCGTTACCTTGGTAACCATTACGACAAACGCATTGATACGAGCCTTCAGTGTTTATACAGTCAGCGTCCTTATGGCATAGATTATGTTCTTGGTGGCACTCGTCAACATCTGTACAGTTAAGAAATCCGTTGCCGTGGTAACCGGGTTTGCACACACAATCAGGTGAATAACAGTTTTCATATGTTAGGTAAGCATTGTTTTCACAAACCTCAGACATGTTGGAGCAAAAGCATTTCCCTTGAGAAAAACTACACATTAGTTCGGAAGACGCATTGCTACTGGCGACGATAGATCGACAGGTGGCCAGGTGCCCTGCCCGACTATCATCATTACAATTGCATGTATTCCTATCAGAAGAACACTCCGAGGACTTTTGACAATATTCACATGAACAATTCATGTCTGCGATGTTTACGGTCATGATAGATTTTCCGGTCAACGACTTAGGATATTCACACTTAACATGGGGCAAGCTGCGTATTTCACTGCTTCTTAATATGTCATCTTCAAACCATTGTTTTAGCCATCGCAAGTCACACGTACAATCCATTGGGTTGTGGTGAACAAACAGCCTCAGACGAGGCAGAAGTTTCTTTAGGTGATTACCATGAAACACTCTTACTTTCGAAAAACTCAGATTTAGGATTTCTAACAAGTGTAGTCGTGCAAAAGCCTCCATAGGAACGAACTCAATGGGATTTACACTGAGATCAAGGTGTTCTACCTCTCTCGGAAAGGTTAAAGCTCTCGGAACTGTAGTC